GTTATTGGATGCAAATGTCAAAACTACAACTTAATATCGTATGAATAAATCAAAACATGGAGTAAGCAAAAATGTTGGGTTTAATGAAGTTATATAAAAAGTAAACTAATAAGCAACAGATATGAGCTTTTTTTACACACATCAAACGTATTGCATGCTGAGTGTAAGTGTAATAATACTTCAAGTGTCGGAGAGGATTTTGCTTTCCAGAATTCTGGGAATTTAAGAAATGGCAGCAGGTAAAATACAAGATTGATAATCTTGTTAATGAGCGAAATTGAATCTCGTATTTTCTCATTTTTAAAGATTGTGTATATCCAGATCTTGGAACACAGATTGCCTACCTAGAACCCTATCGCCTGAATGGTTACAACAATTTTGAAACAGTTTACATCTACTGTAACGAGACCATACCTTATGTAGCACAGGCCTCTATCTGCCTTTTTGGCGCGTGGATGCCAGAATTTCCTACTGAAATATGTAATGGTAAGTACAAGTTTGTGTCGTGATCTATAGTACTTGTATTTAATTTTGTCTTTAATACACATGATTATTTTGTAGGTTAAATGAAATTCACATTTTAAATGCATGGCCATATATACCAACATGTAAAGTAAACGGTAGTTAAAGGTGAAGACCAGTTTTGGAAACGCCCCAATTTAAAAAAAAAAAAGGAAATGGAAGCTCTTATTACTAATCATGTGAAAGAATATGTTTTGACTAATACATGATGATAACATTTTGTCGGGAAACCGCCTACTAATTGATATATTTGGTAAATTAGTTGATCTACATGGTCCCATATAGATCTTTCTGTGTACAGTGCTTGTAACTTTACGAAGACTGGGCCATATTTCTTATCATTTTGATGATTCCAGAACCTTGCAGTACACACCAATACTTATATGCTAGATAATCAACCTTTTCTGATCGATTCCACAACGTTTCTTTCACAATGCAATCGTATGACCATAACTGGTCTTTATCTTTAAAGCTTATAACATGAGTATCATTTGTCATAAATAAAAATTAAAGATAGAAAAATATATAATGGGGTAGATTCATAATGAGAAATAATTAATCGAAAGTAGCTACGAAATATTTGCCCAAGCGATTATAACTTACATATGGTTAGGCAGTCTGAATTGTTTGAATGGAATCGAGCACGCGAAGAATTGGCCCGACAACCAACAACTACTATGTTTGTTAAACACGTTTCAGAAATTAAAATCCCTGTCCATTTGATTTGTAACCCTTACTGTACTGGGCTATTTCGAGCACTCTCTGACTGGGGGGGGGGGGGGGGGGGAGCCTGGGAGGCCCCCCCCCCCTATGATCTCGGCCGTCGAATGTCCGATGAACGCCAAAATTTGCACGTTTGTAGATATTAACGTAAGGAACAAGATGGTATAATTAGTTTTTTCCTAATATGCAAATTTCTGTCGTTATAGCCTAATTAATTATGCAAAATGCTAATTTTATGCAATTTACAGAAAACTCAACATATTTGTCCGTAGACTTGTGAAGAATCTTGAAAATGTATTGAATAAATGTTTCCTTCATCTCAAATTCATGAGGTTTCATTATTTTTATGATATTTGAAAATGCATAGGTTAATTTGCATAAATTATGAATACGCATTCATGAATATCAAATCTGGAAATATATAAAGGGAACTAAAATCATTACAAAAATTTTCAGACTCCACTTTTTGAATGTTGAAACTCATTATTCATATGAAACTTCTTTTCTAACACAAAATAGTTATTTGATGTAATTAATAATGATAATTTATGCAAATTTGATGCGATTTTCGAATATTTAATTTGTTATGTATTTTATTGTTTTTTTTTCTTATTATATCTATTGTTTTATTTCTAATGTATTCTTTTGTTCTGAAATACATCAAGTTACTTTGAGAAACATATAAAAGCAATTTGATATCAATTCATATCTTCACATTTCTGCTTGTACATGAATATATGCAATTATAGCACTTTTTTGATGACATGCGCATACTAATTGTTATGTAACACCTTATAGGTATATCCAATTTCGACGAAAATGGTATCAAAATGTGCGTAAGACTTGAGGGGAAAAAGTCATGAAACGACAATTCAAAATTCCGAGCGGTTACGGCGCAATCTCCGAAAATGTCGAGGGGGGGGGGGGCTCCCAGGCCCCCCCCCCCCAGTACAGTAAGGGTTAAAGGAATATCGAAAGACATTGATTTAGTTTAATCCTCACCCTGCTCTCCTTCTCCTCCTCATTCTTCTCCGCCTTGAACTTCTCTTTCTTGTCCTTGTTCTGTTCTTGTTCTCTTATTTCCTCCACTTTTTCTTATTTTTTTTCGGTTTCTTCTTTATTCGTGTAACATTTTGTATCTTAAACATAAAGTTGAGTGCTGGTCATGCGTTTGCATTGTGAAAGAAAAGGTGTGGAATTAATCCCAAAAAAAAGGTGATCATGTAGCTTGTAAATATGTGTACTGCAAGGTTCTGGAGTCATGGAAATCATAATAAATTTGGCCAAGTCTTGGTAAAGTAACAAGTATTGTACACAGAAAGATGCATATGGGACTACACAAATAATGTCTGGGTTACTTGATTTCATTATCTTTATATGCTCATTACTCAGCCAGTATACAGTTTCTACCAACATTGTTTGGCAAATGACATTTATTTGTAATTTGAACATTCAGTGTAAGTTTCGTTTGATTATGTTAAGTGACAAATCAACAAGGTCGGTTGTCGTATGAAAGTCCTGTAGAAGTGTATGAAAATCAATTTATGGTCCCCATAAACACAACCCACCTTTCATACGTTGATTATCGCCACTCGTGGGAACAATGAGTCACTGCGGAATGTCTATGAGTTTCAGACTACACTTTTGATCCATACAAATTCACTTAATTTTCAATGTTCACGAAATAGAAAACCATTTTTTATTACGCATATTATTTTAACGGAAAGAACTGCAACAAGAGGCGGACCCGAAACTGGCTATGGGGTCCTTGCAAAACGCCTTTTCCCTATTTTATCAGAAAAAATGGAATTTCCGTCATTTCTCATTTCAGACCCTTGCCAAGTTCTAGTTGCAGATGGCATGACGTATAGCAGACTTGCTGGTCAAACTGATGGTGTCATCTTAACACATGGTAGCCGTATATCATTCACATGTGAAAGAGGGGACCCAGGCCCGACTTCTTCAACATGCAACGATGGTGTTTGGGAACCACCTGTATTGTGTCCAGGTATCCTCATTTTCAAAACCAATCTCGATTAACTATGTAAAGGTTGTGTTGATTGGTACTTAATGGAAATACAGATATATGTAGGGAAAAAGAGAGACTAACAAAAGGGAGATGGTGATAAAGAAAGAGATAGAGGCAAACAGTATATGAAGAGATATACAGAACAAATTGGGAGGGAGGAGAAAGAGAGAGAGAGACACACACACACACACACACACACACACAATAGAACGGAATTAAAATATTCAACTATAAAACCAAAACAAAATGCGGAATAGATTCAGAGAAGTGATTAATAACAATTTATGATATGATACTGAAACAGGTTTTCCGGCGATTTAAAATTGGACAAGAGTTACGTTATTTTCACTGAAGTATGTCTCTCTATAACAGACAATAAGCATACACAGCATCGCGTACACTACTTATCATATTGGCCTCGGTTGATTTTTCGACTTTCCAGAAAGACCCATATAAACCGGAAAGTAACAAATATTTGAGTATTTAAAATCTCAATTTGAGGGGTATGTTTTCACCTTTGTCTGTTTCAGAAACATCAACAACTTACTTAACCACGCTATTTGTGTCCCCGGCTCAACCATCGACTAATGGACGTACAGGTGGAACTGAATTATTGACGACCCAGCCGCAACCCTCGATTACTTCCGGTGCACCAATCTCCCATTCAACAGTTGACCACTCTACTACGACAGAACGAGCAGGTACAGACGATATTTCGACAAAATCATTGCTTACATCGACACCTGCTACAACAGCTTTTGACATTTTCACGACACTATCTATATCTTCCGAGTCAATAGTGGATCAGCAAACGACTGAGCTGCAGCCCTCGATTACCTCCGACGCACCTATCTCCTATTCAACATTTGACCTCTCTACTACTACCACGGATACCAATACAGATCACACGTCAGACGGTTTTACATCTAAGCAAATAACATCCATCCCATCTTCTGGGACAAATGAAATAATTTCAAACAGTCCTATGGAAGCAGTTTCAACCCTTTCACCTGTCACTGATGGTACTGAAACAGATTCCGCGTCAACAGAACGAGCAGGTACAGACGATATTTCGACAAAACCATTGCTTACATCGACAGCTGCTACAACATATTCTGACAGTTTCACGACATCATTTATATCTTCCGGGTCAATAGTGGAACAGCAAACGACAGAGCTACAGCCCTCGATTACCTCCGACGCACCTATCTCCTATTCAACAGTTGACCTCTCTACTAATACCACGGATACCAATACAGATCACACATTAGACGGTTTTACATCTAAGCAAATAACATCTATCCCATCTTCTGGGACAAATGAAATAATTTCAAACAGTCCTATGGAAGCAGTTTCAACCCTTTCACCTTTCACTGAAGGTACTGAAACAAACTCAGCGTCGACAGAACAAACAGGTACAGACGATATCTCGACAAAACCATTGCTAACATCGACAGCTGCCACAACAGCTTTGGACAGTTTCACGACACCATTTATATCTTCCGAGTCAACAGTGGAACAGAAAACTACTGGGCCGACAGAAAGCTTAACACCACCAACAAAATATTCCACGACGACAAATGCTGACCCGTCTAGTGCTCCTACTATCGGAAATACAGTCGATGGAGCATCGGACCAACCGAAAGTGACTTCAGAAACTGTCGCTGCTACCAAGAAAACACCTTATATGCTTCATACAATGACAATGCAACGATACACAGCGACAATGCCGACTGACGGGTCAACATCAGACATAAGCCACCAAGGTACTGCATCAGCTAGTGATGAACCTACGTCACATGTTCTGGATAATACTTTTTCAACCACGGGAACCTTACATACTTCCTTGGGGACACTTTCATCAGTCGCTACATCAGTCGCTACATCATTCGAAAGTATAACAACGGAGACAGTAAAAGAAGAAGCTTCAAGCGACTCGTACCATACTGGACGATCTGTTGCTACCTCACAATATGATACATCAACAGGCACAGATTACTTCAGGGAGACCTCAAATAATCTAGGGACATTCGTGACTCTACATCAATCTATAGGAACTACAGGTCTTGTTAACACTTACTCGCCCAAACCCTTCTTGGCTTCCTCTGACCCTACGTTTGAAACCTCGACAACTATTGGGCAAATAAGCCCAGAGGTTCCAACAGAAGACGCAACAACTCTTGAAATAGACAGACCAACACTAGGAATTACAGAAGGTGCTACTACAACCCCAGCTGAAGAGACTAAATGGTCTACTACAGTAAAGAGAGCTACGACGGATCAACGAGTAACTACCCAAGGGCCAGGTATTTCAATGATGTGCTCCTAGATAATTTCGGCTTTCAAATGATTTTTAGTGTTAACTGGCGGCTCGCAGAATTTTGTTAATTACTTGCCACCTACTTTTTGTTTAAAGAAAGCATAACGATGCTTTCTCTGTTTACAGGACATGTTTGTGATAAGTATAATGAGTGCCCTTGTATTCTGGTTTATTGTTTTATTATTATTTTCATTCGAAAAGGTCTATACCAAAACATTAAACTAAACTAAATCAGGATTGTCATTTTTATTCTGTTTTCATCGTCTCTCAATAAATAACGTTTTCTACTTTTCTGGGAGCTAAAGTTGACAACATTTTCTTCACTTTCTCCATTGATAAACGTATTAATTTCTCATTTACCTCCATCTCGTTTCGGTCTTCCTTTTCCCTTTCTCTCCGCTGCCAATCTCATCAATTCGTTTTTACGTTCGCCTTTGTTTAGTTTCCGCAGAAACCACCTCGAGCTGGTGGGTGATCTTTCTTGGTAGCGTGGGGGCTGCATCATTATTTTTGTTGTTGGCTTCCTGTACCGGATTCATCTTCGCAATGGTCTTTAAGGAGAGACGCAAGATGCATCACAAGGGGTTTGAGTCATCGGATTCTAGTGCACCTGGAAGTGTAAGTGGGCGCTTGACCTACTTTGTTAAAGTACACTCAGATTCATACCAAATAAATAATGTTTACTTTCCCATGAGATATATCCGGCACGAGCTCAATCTTTTATCCATTAATTCAATCTAAAAAAAATAAATATTTTGGTGATTGTACATTTTTTAATTTCTGCATTCAAGGCATTATTCATTGGTAATACCAAGATACTTTTTTTATTGTTTAAATTGATTGAGGAACTACAACGAAAGAAAGAAAAAAAATCAAATTATTCGCCGTAGTGTTGCTTGCCCTGTTAAACCTTGTCTTTAGGCTCGTTCAGAAAGGACATGGCAAGACCGGACCGCGGCTGTCTTGCTTAAAGATGATGTTTAGTGTAATACGCATCACATTTCTGTATATTGTAACAGAGCTCAGTGAATACGTGTAATTCCTTTGTTGCGCCCGGATGCAATTCGTTTATACGTTATACAAAAATAATGATGATAATAATAATTACCCCTAAATTTCTTCTGCCATTCTATTTGTGTTTCTGAATAAAGTCATCGACAATACCATCACCTCCCATTCCCCATCTTGCGATGTTAAAATGTGAGTTTTGATGATTACTTCATGTAAAACATGAATGGAAACGCTCAACATTTATTTTCTCATGTTTAAATTTGGTCTTTGTAAACAGCTGGAGTTTAACGTTACCTACAACCCAGGAGCAACCACGATCACAGACCCTGAAGATCCAGCCATGTTTCACTACTAGTATTATGTAAACGCTTGAAAGGCTATAAAAACCCTCAAAAAATTCAATGCAAAAATAAATGCAACTCGAAATGAATTTGTATCTTAGAAGAAAAGACGTTACAAACCTCTCGGCGAAAAGTGGTTATAGTATATATGATGCTAAAACAATGTCAATCAGAATATGCAGCTTTATTATATTGGTAAAATATGGCAGTAATTGGGTTTATCGTCTATGATTAAATCAAATTGATTGTGGATAAGAAGAATTCATAAAGGTTTCAGGATTTTATTGCACATTGTTACGAATTCAATAAACTTGATCAATCTTGGTTTAACAACTCCTCGACAAAGAAATATAATATTCGTGAATTCAAAAAGAAAAGCTTGAGACCATGATAATCTAACAAAGATCATTGCTTCCTTGTATTATTTTAATTAAAAAAACGAACAATCACAAGATTTGAAAGATTCAAGATGTTTTTTTTTTTTGTCTTCTTTGTAATGATACCAGGATAATCTGCAAGGTAGCCAGTAGGCTTTAAACTCTAAGAAAGTAATATAAACAAAAATAATACTGTAACATTGTAAGTAGAGATTGGGGGAAGTGAAGTCTTTTCCCAAAATTTAGAATTACATAGTGTGTTCCTTTGAAAGTACCACCAGTATTAAACAAAATCAAACAATATGTCGAAAAATTAGGGATCATTCGGCTCAACTTATACCAATGCTTGGAAAGCATAAATCAACCATGGCAGGCATATTTTGTATTCTCGAATCTCACTTTGATGTAGAATATATTTTTTTCGCAATTGAAACACATATTTCTCACTTTAATAACAACAGAATAGTGTTTGAAATCAAGTGACAAACCGAGCCACTCTAACTCATGAAGTGTTTTATTTGAGCATTCCTCGCCACAAGAAGAAATATAAAACAAAACGCAAATAATGTAGCGTTTTTGAAAGTTCACTTTTTAACACCTGACACTTCAGACACACCTTTTGTGCAATCAAACTCAAGGAGGGACATGCCATAGTGTGGCAAACAACCACCGATACACAGAGAGTTCTGACCTGTAAGGAGGTAGATATGATATAAAGTGGTTCGCATGCGTGTGGAGTTTTAAAACCGTTGCAAGGATTATGGATATCTTCAAGAGGAAACTCATTATTCTTGCTGTTATTTGCAATTTCTACATAAATGCAGAATCAGGTAAGGGTAATTTACTTTTATATTCTAATTCATAATGTTTCTTTGTTATTTGAAATTACATTCATGGTCTTTGAATTTACTGCGACACACTGGTATGTTTCCCTTTTTAAAACAAGTTTCATTTTTACTCTGCAGTAAGATGCAATAGGTCATCGTTAGCATGTTGATTTGTATTGATTTGATCTGTCTGGACTTAATGTCAAAATGAGTACAATGTATCGATGTTTTATGGATGATTCAATATACAATCTTTGATAAAATGGGAGACATGGAACTTATGTTTGATCGTAAAGCAGATGTTCTTAAGAAATTAGTATGTTTCAAATTGAATTATCATTGAAGAAAAATAATGAAACCCCATTTATGTACAGTGCCCATAACACAATTGATTTAAGGTATCTCCACATTTATTAAGAAAAACGAATCGTAAATCAGTTTGGCTTTGGTGAAGGGGTTATATATCAATGATACAAAAATAACCTTTATCCCATTTCGTGTTTCCATACAGTATGCACCTCACCAGTACTCACTGAACCAGGTCTGCTGGTCAGCCCTGACCATGATGTATATGATGAGATGGATCTTATCATCCTCTACTGTGATCCTAGTCTATACCTCCTTCATGATGGTCCTGCCTTCAGTTTCTGTATGTCAGATGTATGGGTAGAAGATCCGACGCTTGCTGTATGTCACGGTAAACGATTTCTACATTTCCATTTTTGGTCGAAAATCCTTTTTATTTATCTTTTTTTTAATTATCAGTGATGAAGTTATCTAATCGCACCTTCTTTCAAAAACTGCAAACTATTATCAATTTGATTGTTCGAATATTCAGTTGAAGATACAATTGTGTACGTTTACAGAAGTTAACATTTACATATGTGAACGAGGAGTGTATGTGGGTATATACGACCGATTTCGTTTCATTTTAATGAAGGGGTAAAATGGTGGAAAATTTTACCCATAATAGGAAAAGTGAATCAATATTTTAAATGATTTATGTGTTATGGAAGTCACCGATTGAACAATACCTATTCGGTGTTGCGCTGACAATAACAATGAACAAAAAGAGCGAATAAAACAACATAAGATAATAGTTTTAAACAAAATCGTTATGACAATAGCAAAGAAACACCATTCCAGCTTTTAAAAAAAAATCGAAGTTTCCCTAATGTTCCTTATCAAATATGTTCTTGAAATCGTTATTGAGAGAAGTTCGGTTTGTACTTTTCATTCATTTTGATAGAAGCATGTGATCCACCTGCTACAGACCCAGATGTTGCACACACCAATCAAGAAACAGGTGAATCAGCACCCGAGTATTACCTCCATGGTGCTATCGTTGAATATACCTGTAAAGAGGAACTAGGTGTACTTGATGGTACCAGCACGGCTACCTGTCACGATGGGGTTTGGGACCCTCTTGATATACCAGTTTGCAGGGGTAAGATAATACTTTTATTTTTAATCGATCAATGCTTATTACAGATTAATCTATTGACATATAATCTCAGACATAACGTATACATCGCGGTCATGTGTTTGAAACTGGTCTTGCAGACATTTCTTAATACTGCCAATAACAATGTTCAACATTTCAAATAAAACTGCATGTGTTTTGGTGATAATTTTTAATTATGATAACAAGTATTCTCATTGCAGATGAATGTATGTCACCTGATAATGTATATGAGACTGGTTCATATCGACATGGTACATTAGTGTTCTTTATCTGTCTACCTGGTACGGTTTCAAACGGTATCTCGTTGGTTCGCTGTGTAGATGGAGAATGGTCTGATGCTGTAATGTGCTCGGGTAAGTAAGCATTGGTATTTACTCGTGAAAATGATACCTTCATGTTGGGTTAAACTGATCCTCGGTCCTAAAGAAACGTAATTTAGGTCAAAACATTCTGGGGACGTTCTGCAAACGTTTCGAGAATGTTGTATGTTTGCTGGAAAATGTTTATAGATATATACCGTTTTCTCTAGTTGATTTAAAAGAGATGTACCTAGCTATCTCGTATAGACAGCAAAACAATATGTCAACATTGTACATGTAAATATCCCGACGTGCTTTTTTGAAGCTTGAGCACCACTATCTGTTCAGTCAGCTTGTCAAATAATGTGTATTCGTAAATTATATAACTTGGTATGAATAAAGGTATGAATGAAGAGTGGCCTCCTTAAGATACTGACTAAACATTGTTCTGTATGCAAACATTCCAAGGCTCCTACTCGTAGGCCGAGGTGTACAGCCCTTACAAACCAGCTCACTGATCTCATATTCTTATTGATATTGTCCAGAAACCTCGCAAGTCTTCTCATGATTAAATACATCCCTAGTTGGCCACGCAATAGTCAAATGTGCATCTCCTCTTTTATCTTCATATTTCAAAATGAAATACAATTACCACAAACATATGTATCCCGATGTACTTCCCCTCTTTCTTGTTTTTATCTCTCTTTTTCTTTTTCCAATTTTTCCAATTTTTGTTCCTTCATGTTTGTATTATTATGTATCCATTGAGGGTAATACTGCTATCAAACTTTGCTTACTTTGTCAACCCTCGCGTTTGATGTGTTTGAAGGACAAACATCTCGAGGACAACCCCCCCCCCCCCCTGAAAAATACCCCCTCTAGGACAATAACCCCTGTGGACAAATACCCCACCCCTTAAAATCAATTACCCCTTCTCCAAGAACAACCAAGACAAACCACCTCGAGGACAATTAACCCCCCCCCCCCCTGTCCATTAAAGGGGAAGTCTAACCTGATAATAAGTTGGTTTAAAGAAAAGCATACATTTTTTCGGGGGTAATTGTCCTCGCAGGGGATAATTTTTAAGGGGATAATGTCCTTGGGGGGTTGTTGTCACTTGGGATATTTTTTTTTATTTTTTATTTTTTTTTGGGGGGGGGGGGGTGTCCTTAGGGGAAAGTTTTCCGGGGGTGATTACCCAGGGGGTCATTTTCCTATAACCCACGTAGAAAAACCTGTGTCATCAATTCTAAAACATTCCTGTATTTTCTATATCATCGTTGATCGCAAAATTGTCCAATACCAAAAGAGTTTCTACCAATGTCATGTAACCAACGTATATATATATATATATATATATATATATATATATATATTGTATCCCTTTTATGAAACTTTCGTGAAAGAAAGTCAACACATATTTCTCTTTAAACACATTAGAACCAACACAAACGACTGCAATACCATCGGAAGAACTGACTACAGTCTACAGCCCAATAAGTAAGTCCAAGATAATAAAGTATTGTTTCAATCTTAATATAGAGTGTATTATGATGAAATATGAAGCATTGTTGAACAGATATTCACAAGTTAAAAGCGTTTCTTATTTTACTGGCATAGAAAATGTTAGAGATAGAAATAACTGAAAATATATCCAGACTCAGGTATTTCAAATATTTGAAAACCCACATAATGATATTTAAACAATTAACCAATATTCTTGTTACTTTTAATAACAGTCATCCTCTTAATTTTTTATTTTTTAGCCAATTCTCGATCAGGCATTAAACAGAAATTAACTTGAACGATATTTATTTTACTTCTATATTAAATAACGATATTAAGACAGTCCTGATATGCCTATACGTACAATGATACAAAATTATTTATCGTTAATACTTTTTAAATATCATTACTGAACCAAAGTTATTACGCATTATCGTAATTCTGATATATATTTTGCCACCGATATGTTGTACTAGTAATTGAAGTGCAATGTTGATGTTTATCCACTGTGCTTTATCTATTTAAGCTTGCATTTAAACTGTTTAGTCCACATCCTTGTACACTCACGTTTCCATCTCGTTTGTTCGTAGCCTGCCAGAAGCCTCATTTCAGAAGAGACAACGTTTACATCGACCCGGTTCAGGAGGTTGGCTATCGAGATTTTGATGTTGTGTACTTCTACTGCAATGAAACCATGCCATACGTAGCATATGTCGCCCTCTGTTACAACGAATCCTGGGTTCCCACCATCCCAGAAAGGATTTGTCACGGTAATATA